GTTTCCCTTCATGCTGTACATTCAGACGAATCCTAAGTGTGCCATCCACTGCCTTCTGTAGGTTTCTATTTACCCTTGCATAGTACTCTTTCGGAGCAACACTTTTTGAGCTTTTTTTTCTGGCTTGGATCCTTTCTCATCTGTTAGAAAACACAAGCCCACTTATCAAAAATAACTTCTCTCAGAGCTGTTTTTATATCGAGCAAGAGGAAGCAAACCGTTATTTGGCTCGGAAACTTGTTGACTTCTTTCTTGTTTTTGTCGGAGTCAGCACTCACTGGCGAAGACTTCTCCGACTTCTGCATTCTTTTCGTAAATGACAGGAAGAGTTTATCAAAGTGATGTGCAAAGACTGACGTCGGCAGATGGGATCACCAGCTTTTTATAGTTTTCAACACGACACTCAAATGCCCCTACGCCAAGTTTTAAAAATTTGCATATATGCAAAAAGTTATATAAATTGAAATGATTGTACCACTGCGTCTTTCTGTTTGAGAATTTCCAAAACTTTTAATCACTTTCCCTCTACTTTCTGGTAGAAGCAGACAGAGAAATTATGTACTTGCTAGCGCATAAAGTTTGTGTGCAGTACAAGTATCCTGGGCCTGCTTAGTTTAATACAGATCTGCGCAATTGCAAGCTTTGAAAGTAAGTGCTCACTCTTGCCTACTTTCCTACCAACCGTTTAAGCAATTGAAAAAAGCGAAAAAAAAAAAACGCTTTGTACAAGAGAGTGCCGGTTGCCTGTGAAAATGAGAATCACCTAGAATCAATATGCGCAGCTGCTAAACTGTTGTTCCGTCTTCCGTGAACATGATTTCTTCCCAAGAAATGCGCAAAAAGAAAATAACTTTCACCTTTGTACAAAGACTTTTGTTGACTATATAGACCAAAATTTCAAATTCAAGCTCAATTTTACATTGCACACATGGGCACCTTATTATAGTCTAAAAGCGGGAACGTTTGGAACAAAATGTTCCTTTTAAAATACGAAAGGTTGCAGCTGACGAAAGTGCATACACCTACATACACATGGATACACACGTGCATACACCTAAATCACATTTTCATTGATCTGCTTTGTATACAGTTCTTGTTCACTGATCCGTTTGGTGATAATTAAATTAAGCCCAGAGCACTAGTTCTTGCATTATTAGCTCCAGAAGGCTGCAGGAGAATCGTAAGATGTTTATTGTGATTAATCATAATGTAGCACTGAGACTGAATAACAGTATTCAGCAGCCATTATAGATTGACAAAACGTTCAGAGTTGTAGATCTTTTTATTTTAATAAAGCCGCAGAAAGTTGTAACGAACCGTAAAGAGGATCTGCCGATATGGACAGCCGATACAGCGGTGCCGACGGCGGAACATCTAGTTCTGCTCTTTTGCTCAGCATCGCCCTGCATTTCTGACGTTTTAGGCATTCAGCAATATCTAGCAAAAAATAAATTTTTAAGACCTCGTTTGATTTACCGAATCAGACGCTGTTTCAAAACTAATAATGA